AAGAAGTCATAAATTTGGCTGACATCATAATTTCATTATCATCAGGTGACTTCATCCATAAACCATTCCCGGAGACTGACATATGCAGACAATGTATCACTTCCTTCATTGAAAGGGTAGTTTCCAGAGCTACTTCGCTGTCAAAAATTGTTACGTAATGAGCCCGTTTCTTCCCAGAGGCAGAAGGAAGGAACTTAGGGAAATAAATGGAAAGAAAACGAGCAATAAATACCAAGAATACGTAAAAATATAAAACCAAAGATAAAAACAAGCAGTAAAAAAGCAAAAATGAAAATTTGAGGGAGAAGAGTGACGATTGATTGATACCGGATAAAAGGTTCGTGTGGCGGAAAGTAGGAGAGTGACAGCATTCCTCCCTTCCTCTGGTTACTGCTTAGTAGTTACTCTTGATCATACGAGTAATTAGAGGCAAGAAGTGATCATTCCTGGTCACTCGTGGTCACTCGTGGTCACTCGTGTTCACTCGTGGTCACTCGTGGTCACTCGTGGTCACTCGTGGTCACTCGTGGTCACTCGTGGTCACTCGTGGTCACTCGTGGTCACTCTTGGTAACGCTTGGTTACGCGTGGTCACTCGTAGTCCCTCATGGTCACTCGTGGTCACTCACAATCAATTCTCCCCCTTTTTTATCTAAATTTATGTTTTCATATTTTCCATTAACGAGTTATCCTTTCCTTCTATCGTCATTTCCAGGAGCTTTTATTTCAACAAAATCCGCACAGTGAACAACGAGCAATTCGAAGATATCGCGCCAAGTATTAGATTCCTGTGAGTATGAAAAAAACTGCTATTATTCAAGGCGCACGTCTGATTATAAGCTTCACGGAGAGAGAATTCCAAATTCAAGGGAGACTATGCCCATAACACTCGGATTAGCGTCCCTCCTCCTATCTTTACGGACAAGTAATCCAGTAGGCAGAGTCATGCAAGCTGAGAATTACGTTATTCGAGTAAAACTAAGGATGGGCTTTGTATATTAATGCATAGTTTATACCTTTAGTCACGCGCAAATTTTATGCTCCTAAAAACAATCAGATGTGGCCACTGAAGAACTTTTGGGAAAACTAAATGAGGGCTTCCTCTCAATTAAACGTCCCCTCTCAAGTAGATTACCAATGTAATATTGCATGTATACACATTTCCATATAATAGGATGTTTTACGTACTCAGTAACGAATTATTCTTATTCAGATATGTGTGACTTGGTTACTTGCTCTCTCGTCTTCTAAAATGCCCATTTTTCCCATTACTCAGGATCCTAACTCTATGGGTATTAACGAAATTGAGGCAAATTTGTTCACTGACAGTGGTATACCCTTCCGTTCCTCTCTGTCCTCTGAATTCCAGGGGGTCTCGCGAAGTGTTAAGAGTTGAAATTTTGGATGTGAGAACTGGGTGGAGCAAAGGAAAAGAAGAGAGCCAAAAAGCTTGAAAATACTTGGACTTAAGACAGCAGCATCCTTATAAGTTAGCAAGTGATGTTGAATTGAATCGCTTTCCTTTAATTTGCAGTTACTTCCATTACAACGAAATGCGAGAACTGCCGGCCGGTTTCTTCTCGAACATGAGAAATCTAATAACAGTGTAAGTCAGTGGAATGGTGTCTGGAGATGTTCCATTGAAAGATTTCATTTATCTGTATACAATAAGGCATCATGTAGAGTATTACTATTACCCTATCATTGTGTTAAATTCAGAATCTAAATTTCTATTTTCTTCCCCTTTTCTGATTCCTTTGAACTCTTTTTATGAACCGTAGGACTGTAGACACCAACCTGATGTGTTGCCATTTGACGAAGGAGGACGCAGATTGCGACTTTGCTTATGTCGACAGCTTCGCCAGTTGTGAAACTATGTTCAGAGATCGAGCCCCCAGGATATGTCTCTGGGTGGTCGGAATTATGTCGTTGGCTGGTGCTTTGTTTGTGATCGTGTGGCGGTTGGTGTTTAAGGAGACAAAGAAGAAAAATAAGATACAGGCTATCATGTTGATACATTTGGCCGGGTCTGATGGACTAATGGGTATCTACCTTATCACAATAGGTGTAGTGGATGCCATCTGGGCAGGGCAGTATTTCTTGCATGACTATAACTGGCGTTCAAGTTTGTCATGTCAGATAACAGGTGCCATTGCCGTGTTGTCAAGTGAGGTGTCTGTCATGACGATCTGTTTGATATCCGCCGACCGAGTTAAGAATATTCTGTTCCCTTATCGTGGAAAGTCCCTTACAATCAAGGTTACGCACCTTTTGTGTTTTTGTATCTGGATTGTGGGTGGGTTGATTGCATTTATTCCCACGGTGGGCATCGACTACTTTGGTAGTCGCCAAAAAGGTCACCACTTTTATGGCAGATCAGTTGTATGTCTCCCATTGCAACTTTCTGCTGATAAGCCCTCAGGCTGGGAGTACTCTGTTGCCATGTTTGTTGGTTTAAACTTTACTCTTGTGTTCTTCGTCATTGTGGCCTATTCCATGATTATCTACAAATCCTGCACATCAAACCGGCGCCTGGCTCAGCAAGGGACCGAAAGAGAAAGGAAAATGAAAGCCAAGGAAAGGGCAGCCGATCTGAGGAGGGAGGCCTCGCTCGCTAAAAGAGTGTTCTTCATTGTTCTTACCGACTGTGTCTGCTGGCTGCCTATTGTGGTTATTGGAATGAGGTCTCTCTTGGAAAAATCCTTTAGTGCCCCTGGTGACCTGGCAGTTTGGATCGCAGTCTTTGTTCTGCCGGTTAACTCTACCATCAATCCTATTCTCTACACCTTATCAACAAAACAGGTAATAACTCGCAACCTTCATATCTTTGATAAGCTGAAATTTAGAGGATACTTTCAGAAATATTTGTTTCATGCCGTGAAGAAAGTAAAATGAACCAGTTTAAGCAAAAACATTTCGTTCCGCACGAGGAAAATTTAAGGGTATTTGATATTTGAATATTTCCAGATTTTTCTTGATCTTCCAAAAGAAAAAAAAACTTCCCGTAGAAAAAAACCCCTGCATAAAATACAACACCGCATAAACGTATTACCTCCTGACGATAAAGAACTCAAAATAATTTTACAGTGGTATCCACCGACGCGTAATCTAAATCAAGCTTGTTCCAGCAGGAATATTTTAATATATGTGAGCTCCACATAATGAAAGCTTTGAGCATTTTTTTTCTTTGAGAAGAGAGCATTTTGCTGTTTGAATTAGCGACGTAAGCCGAAAAGAGGTGGTAAATGTGCGAAGCGAGCAAGCTGCGAAATCGATACCCTAAGTTCTTCAGAAGAATGGTGGAACGGAGAAACTGAGAAATGGTCGAACGGAGGAACTGAGAAATGGTAGAGCGGTGGATCGGCGGAGTTGCAGAATATGTTGGGACGCGAAATGACCAAAATACTTTTTATGCATGAAAAAAAAAGAGCCTCAAAAACTGGAATGGTGATAAAATAGGAAAATTATTAATAATTTACAGGCGAATTAAAAGAAACCTAGGCATTCAGTGTTGGAGCCCAGAGGATTGGAAACCACGAGTCTTTCAAGCTGGCCCCTTTAAATTATTGTTATATTAACATTGTTAGCATTATTATTATTATTACTGGTACTACTATTTGTTACCATTTTATTACTGGTTGAATATCAATTGGACAATATATTCCTAAATCATCTTCCTCCTGTGGAACAGGGTATTCATAATTATGCAGGATGCGGCAGGTTTTCTGTTTATCATGTGAGGCAAAAACTCTGCAACTCTACGTGGTAGCGTCATTATAAAACCTCTGGCTTTTTTCAATGCTATAAATATTGTATTTCACCAGTGGCCACATACAGTCTTTGACTGTCTAGTTTTGATCTTGATGCCTTACATCTAGGTACGACGTATTCTGTGTCCGAAATTCCAACAGTTCTTGGGCTATTTGATGGAAAAGTGTGGACGAAATCAAAACAATGAAGGTAAGTTTATCGAAAACCATGTTTTTGGGAAAGAAGGACTATACTTTTGTTGTGCATTGAAGACGCGGTTTCTCAAAATAAACCTGTTCTACTGAAGTTTGCGTCAAGATATACTTAACGTTGACATTAGGTCAAGTAATATTTTGCACAGCTTCTGTCTTCCGAATAACCATAGGCATGAGAAACTCATTTCTCACTTTGAGCAATGCCCAGAGTTAGTTTTAATTACTTTGAATTTGTTGATTGAGGGTACGTTTAGACAACCTGAGGGAAAGTCTTCATCAGAGCCCTGCTAAGACCTGCATATTTAAGAGTTGTCCTTTGTGATGTCAGCTCTAATTGATTTTAGTATTTGTTGTGCAAGGTTGTTTCACTAAATTTCAATAGTTCTTCAAATCTGATTAAGTTTCATTGCCACGCGATAGCCCTCTGGTGATTGCACATCTGCATGATTATCTTAAAAAAAAAAAATGATTATCTTTGGTGATTCTGACTATTGCTTCGTATATGATACGCCGATCAGCTTACTGATTTTACAATCATGAAGGTAAATGCCATTTGAACACGTTTGATTAATGTTATAACTGTTTTCCAAAGGCCAAGATGAGGGCATAGAAATGCGAGTCATCGAAGAAGGTACGAAATATTTATTCAGCTTAATTAAACATGGAGACGTAAATAGAGGTTCTGCCCTTTAGTTTCGGTGAGAGAGTGAAAAAAATCATTCTTTATGAACCAACTAACCCTTAGAGTCGGAGGCCAGGATGGGCGAAATAAAAAACACTTGAAATTACCGGAAAGAAATACCGCTGAGGTTTATGGGAGAAACTACTTTATGAACATTGCTACCTTGATTTGTTTTCCTTGAAAGAGCTGCTATCAAAGTTGTTGTTTTAATAAATACTGTCAAGAGAAAGTGCTTAGGAAGTAGTAGGTTGTAGTACAGAGTACTTTTTATTTTATAACTTTTCACTTTTCAGTTATGATCCATCGAGAGGCAGAGAGTGAGGACAGCGATGACAGTGATGACGAATCGAAACTTCTAAGTGAGCATGAGCAAATCGCAGACCAGACCGATCATGAACAGCCTGGAGAGAGAGATGAGACTGAACAGGATGAAAAATCAGAGGAAGACTACGAAGGCCAATCAGAGCAGAGAGACGAACCTGAAAAACGAGAAGAAGAATCTGAAGAACAACATGAGGATGGCATGGAAGATGAGCCTTGCAAAGAAGAAGAAGAATCGAAAAACGACTGCAAAGAATCCAAAGGACACGTTGAAGATAACATTGAAGATGAACCTGACATACAAGACGAAGAACCAAAAAAGGACTTCGAAGAATCCGAGAAGCAAGATGAAGATGGCATGGACGAGGATGCTGGGGAAGACGAGCAGTTTATCGCGAATAAAGGTAGGTATATCAACCCCAGCCTCTGCTTCCTTTGAAAAAAAGAAAAGAACTGTGATACATTGTGATATTTTTTCATAAATTTGGAGGACTAATAGTGAACAGCATCTCCTCGCTATTCCTTAAACAAATTGTTTGTTTCTACAATTTCGTCACCTTCCTTACCCTGCTGAACTACATTCAGCGGTTTACTCGAATAGTGAAATAACTTTTTTCTCATTGGAAAGGCTTGGAGCTGTTTTTCTCTCCGTAAAGCGACAAGATAGTGTTCTCGGGGAGCGCTTTTGCGAGATTTGCGTTGTACTACGGTGCCCCACTTTATATAACAATCTCGCTATGAATTAGTCTGAGCAGACTGTAAGCATTTAATACAGGGCAAGCCACTGAATGTCTTCTTTTTGCCTGGTGTCATGTTATTATGCAACAGATACACACAAAGCACATGAAAATCTCCCAGCAGCCTCAGGACGAGAGTCTCCAAGAGCACCGCTGGCCACGTTTGACGATGACAGCGACCTTGATCAGTTTTACGAAGCGATCGATGGCATAAAAGAAACGAGTGCGTAATCAATAACACTGTATTCTCAGAGGAGTGCATTCTTTGTGAAACAAATTTAATTTGAGATTGATTAAGTAGTTACCTGCAATAGTTTCCATAAATAGCGTCAAAATACAGTTGCCTTAAAGTTCTTAACTCAAGAGGTCATTCCAAAAGACTGGCACATAAAGTTGCCCATAATATTAATCTCTAAGAGTTTTTTCTTGATAAGTAGTTAACCTTTGTGTGGTCTTTTATAAAGTTATTTCAGATGTAGATTGAATCTTAGTTCAGTTATTGCTAAGTGTAGAAAAAGTAGCAGCAGATGGAATTGTTTAATATCTAGGGTCGGATCTGAACAGCAGGTAAACTTGATAAGCGGCTAGGGAAAAGATTGCTTTTACCCTTTATTTACATGTCAGTTGTTAAAATTGGTAAGATTTTAAGTAGACGGCTCTGTTGTTTGGCAATCCTAAGCCATAAATCGTATTTATTCAATCTAACGCTGATATCAATACCTCACTTACGATTTGTTCAATTCAACCTAAATGCCGTCTGAGACACTCAGTAGATGGCTGTGTTGTATTACAATGCTAGGCCATGAATCATAATTATTCATTTTAAATCAGTTACCATATATTGCTATCCTACTTATGATTTGTTTAATTCAATCTTAACGTCTTATGATATAATTTGTAGATGGCTAATTGTATAGCAATGGTAAGCCATAATTTGCATTTATTCACCATCAATATCGTACCTATTGTAAGCATTCAGTAACAGGCTGTGTTGTATAGCAATGGTAAGCCATGAATCATATTTATTCAACTGGAAGTTATCTTAGTCATGATTTCGTCATCACAGTGGTAACATCTGATATGTTTAGTAGATGGCTGTGTTGTATTACAATGCTTAAAGCCAGGAATCATATTTATTCAGTCTAAATTTACTAATGATATCTTACTCAGGATTTATTTCATCACAATCGTAGCTTCCGCTATGTCTAGTAGAAGTTTGTGTGGTTTAACAATGCAAGGCCTTGAGTCGTATCTATCCAATTTTAAGTGGCTATTAATATCTTACTCATGATTTTCTCAAAAAAAAAAAATGCAAGATCTTAAGTAATTAGTAGATGGCTGCATTACTTAACAATGTTATGCCATAAATTTTATTTACCCCACGGCACGCAGGTACTAAGTGCTCAGGTCAGATGATGCATGTGTATCTGGCTCACATATTTATTCATTTGGATTTTGTGCTCTCTCTACTCCTAAGTAAATTTTGCAGAAGCTCATACAAACTGAAAGAAAAACGGGTGTTATTGACGTAATACAGAAAGACAGGAAGACGAACATCAACTGAGTGATATGTATCAGTGAAACCTGTGTTGGTAAACTGTCAACTATCCAGTGAAGTCACTGTTTTTTGTCAAGCATGTCTGCCTAAATAAATAAAATTAAAAAAAAATTGTGATTTACTCTAGATAATTATCCATTAACCCATAAACCCATTGACTCCTAAGAATGACTAGCGTTTGATTTCTCCTTACCATATCACCCCTGAATCAAACAGTAAGGTCACCAGAATAAAGGAAATAATCGCCAAATTCAGAAGCCCTCAATTGTTAAACAAATTCTCCTCAAGACAGTATCGAGAATATGCATATTGATGTTAGATGTACATCTATCAGCTAAGAGGTCATGAGTGGATTTTTTTTAATGAAAATTTCCAGTGCCTCAACAGTGCCATAATA